CCCCCCCCCCTCAGCTTACTCCGCCTATCTGTGGCAGACGTCGTGGTAGCGTGAGCGTTAGCATGGTAGCGTTAGCATGGTAGCGTTAGCATGGTAGCGTTAGCATGGTAGCGTTAGCATGGTAGCATTAGCGTGCCGACGTGGGCACACCTCCTGGAAGAAGTGGGTGGATTGCCTGTGTCTCTTTTGCATTTAAAGAGACAGGCACTCCAAAGCGAGCGCTCTGAACGGGGCTGTTTTGGGTTAGGGTTAGGGTTAGGGTTAGGGTTAGGCAGGGGGACTGAACTGCTATTGGGCTTCATCCTTATGGGATTTTGACCAAAGCTTGTCACTGACATTACATTAGGACACCAGGGAACTAGTTTAACTTGTTGAAATAGGGTATAATATGTCCCCAGCTGGCTTACCAGGTTGTCCAGCTCCGGGTCCTCGCTGAAGAAGGGCTTGTGTTCTCGCTCTTGCTGGTGGACAAAGTTTTCGATGTCTACGTCAAAGCTGGCGGACGTGATGCATTCGGATCCCTGCGTGGCCTGTTCGCACTTCTCAAACAGCAGCGCCAGGAGAGGGAAGAGTGGATGTCTGGGAGGGAAGGCAGACAGAAATGTTTCTCAGCTTTAGCAACGTTTCTCATTTCTCTACATACAAATCAATACTTTAGATGAATTTTCCACCGGTTTTCCTATTTACGCTCCATCTGAAGCTTTCAAATGACTGAATACATTATCTTTAGATAATCAAATTGATGCTCCAATGGAAAAATCTCGTAGGAATCAAACAAGACTGAACAGCAGCCGAGATCTTCAACAGGAGCTCTGTCTGTCTAATGATCGAATATGTAGTTTTGTTTGAGCTGATCTGACCAAAATTCGACCCAGATCAGCCTAAAATCTGGATGCTGAGTTTCTCTGCCATCTCTTTGTAAAGTGAGGTAAAAAGTCAATTATGTCACTTCGCCATTAGGCCACAAAGAAACCAGCCTGGATAAACTTGTAATCAATATTTACGCAGAAAAAACAACTATTCTAAATATTTGGGGAGGAAAAAGTACAAGTTGTCATGCCTTACAAACATCATGAGCATCAACTAAAACAAGCTAGTCTGTGAACCTGCTTTGCTTGAGAAAAGCAGGAACAAATGTTTCCCATCTTCTTCACTCATTTCTGTCGGTCTGTCAAGATTTTTGGGGTTTTTTTTATCTTAATTTAATATGCATGCTAATCCCTGATGCTAAACTGATGTTTTGGATTTAATGTGGCTGATAAAGTTCAGGTCTAAGTCCAGTGTTACCCCAAGATTTCTAGCTTAATGGAAGCATGTACATATTGAACAAAAGGGGTCCCAGGATTGACCCCTGGGGAACCCCACAGACCCATTCGGTCTGAGACCCAGTTCCCAATTTGAACCAAGTAACACCTGTGCTTGAGCTAAGACTTGAACCAGTTTAAAGCCGTATCAGAGATTCCCACCCAGACTTCTAACCTCTGTAAATAAATAAAAAATCACATGATCAAAGGTGGTGCTCAGATCCAGCAGAACTAAGGCTGAGACTTTTGCACTTTTAATAGTGTGACAGTACCTGGATATTCTCTAAAGAGGACACCAATTTCTCCTTGAGATCCCAAAAGATTTTCTTTTTTACATTAAACCGGATAGAGTTTACTGGACCTGGAACAGTCTGGATTCAGCAAAAGCTAATTTATGAAGCATTTCTATTTTGAGGGAAATCCCTTAAGTGATAGCCAGGGTTAAATGAGAGGTGGTGTAATATCTATCATCTGAACAGCTGTTGTTCTTCAGTGAGGAACTAGACTCTCACCTTAATCCACACCTTTCCGATACTTTTCCATTCTCATACTGTCCTTTGTGTCGCCTTTAACTCTCAGAAATCCCTTGGTAAGCCCTCAATATACTTATTCATATTTTGGATTAGGATAAGGAGTCTTGGCAGAGTGTTATAAAATATCAAAAGCTGCTTATTATTTCCACCTCGAGTTCCTTTATTTATTCCTGACTCAAATGGGACATTTTACCTGTTAAAAAAGCCACTATCAGAGTCTTAGAACGGCACTTTATTATGAATCCAAATTCAAAAATAAAAATGTGATGATATCGTCTGAGACCTAGGGCTGATTCTGTTTTTTTTTGTGGAAAGATTTGCTCATGTGGGGACTCTTATGTGAACATGCAGACATGACAGGAGAGCACAGGTGCTCGTTTCCACTCGGGGAGGTCCTGCTAATGCCGCCTATTCGGTGGCACAGCTCAACGAGCCACTCAGAGACGCCGCGGTTAATTAATGCTCCTAAATCCAGCTGCACTTCTCCAACCATCACGGGACGCGAAAAGGGTCTGCTGTCATCATGGGAACGAATAAGGAAAAAAAGGGAGACTGCTACATTTGATAGGGATTCCTATTCGGAGCCACTGAAACCATGTTAGCCTATTTGTTAGCTTATTTGTTAGCCTATTTGTTAGCTAATTTGTTAGCTTATTTGTTAGCTTATTTGTTAGCCTATTTGTTAGTTTATTTTTTAGCTTCTGTGTTAGCTTCTTTGTTAATTTATTTGTTAGCTTATTTTTATCTTATTTCTTAGCTTATTTGTTAGCTTCTTTGTTAATTTATTTGTTATCTTATTTTTATCTTATTTGTTAGGTTATTTGTTAGCCTATTTGTTAGCTTATTTGTTAGCTTATTTGTTATCTTATTTGTTAGC